CAAAGGCATCATGTTGCAGTCGGCCGCAGGCAGCCTGTAAGGTTATACTGGGATTCGGTTAGGCTGGGCTCCTAACAGACACACCCTACTAAGTTCATTTTTCTCTACATTATCCAAGGATTGTAACCTTTCGTTAAGTATCAGTGCATATTTCTGGAAAACCTGCCCCTCAGGCCTCTTGTCTTATCCTTTTGCAAATTTTTTAATGCATACTCTTGATTTTTTTTGAAGGTACAACAGCGGCCTAAAACAGTTCACGGAAATAACGTCCACGAAACACCTGAGCACTGTGGTGGATGCCATTACCATTAAAAACAGCTACTGGGCCCGCAATTCTTCTATAACCCCTGCGACCTCGTCGGTCAGGGCAAGCTTATCCCTAAGTGGTAATTCGTGAACGTCTTTCACATCCTCGCCTTCACTGTGACCTCACAGACTGCCATTGGCTCGTGTACGACCTTCATCTGTCCCGCGCGCAATCTGAACCAACAAGGCGCGTCTTTAATAAACAGAACTCCTCCCCCTTCCACTTCCGGTTATCGGCAAGACAATTGCCGTTTTTGCCTCCGATACCCCTCCCCCACAACTACCATCACAACATACCTTGCCTTTCGCCATTGTAAAAAATTGTTTCGAACTAAATCTCAAAGATGAAGACTCTGTGACACTGCCGTCTCTATCTCCATGCATTTTCTGTCTTTTCACTCTGCGCCTTTCAGACGGTCCCCCTTCCCCTTTTTTTACTTTTGTTTGCTCATGCCTATTCGTACTTTCGAATTTTGATGATTCGCGCCCCTTTAAGGATGAAGCAGAGTGCTCCTGTTTTTTTTTTTTGGGTCGACTGTATGACGCTGAATTTCGTCGTCCCGGTTAACTCTCCCTTGTGTCCTTTCTCATCTACTCTGTTGCCCTCACTCCAGATCGCGGCGAACGCCAAAGTCGAGAAACACATACTTCACAGTAGGATTTACTCTCTGGTCCTGATGCTGTACTTATCATGATGAATCCTTCTCTTTAACTGCACGATTTTATTCGCTGATGAAGTTATTTTAGCTTCCAAAGATGAGAAGCCGACTGTGTTATGATACCAACTGTCTTCTCTACACTGATTTCGCCGCGCGGTGTATTGTTGAAACATAACTTAAACACCTGTTATATCCTTCAGTAGAATTACGTGGAATATAAAACAGACAGGATAGCAGAAAACAGGTTTCCTGCGACAGTTTCTGCGTGTACATTACTTCTCAGTCGTTCTGTCCGTGGCGTCGTATTTAAGGGCCATGCCCTTTGTCCGCTGTGTCTGTTCTTATTGGTCCACTCGTAAGTGCCCATCCGGACAGGCCCTTGCGGGATGTCGACCCTCGAAGGTCGCGCATAACTCGGCAGTGCGCTTCCGCGGGTTAGCGGTTCTTTGTCAAAGGGGACAGTAGGACGGCACGAGTGGTGACCCTTTGTTCTGAACCGTCCTTACATCTTCCGCTGTTAAAGAGTTGACCTCGTACGTTCGGCGATTCGGATGCAACCCAAGC